CTTATCCACCTCATAATCTACTTGATCCTAACTTATCCACCTCATAATCCACTTGATCCTAACTTATCCACCTCATAATCTACTTGATCCTAACTTATCCACCTCATAATCCACTTGATCCTAACTTATCCACCTCATAATCTACTTGATCCTAACTTATCCACCTCATAATCCACTTGATCCTAACTTATCCACCTCATAATCTACTTGATCCTAACTTATCCACCTCATAATCCACTTGATCCTAACTTATCCACCTCATAATCTACTTGATCCTAACTTATCCACCTCATAATCCACTTGATCCTAACTTATCCACCTCATAATCTACTTGATCCTAACTTATCCACCTCATAATCCACTTGATCCTAACTTATCCACCTCATAATCTACTTGATCCTAACTTATCCACCTCATAATCCACTTGATCCTAACTTATCCACCTCATAATCTACTTGATCCTAACTTATCCACCTCATAATCCACTTGATCCTAACTTATCCACCTCATAATCTACTTGATCCTAACTTATCCACCTCATAATCCACTTGATCCTAACTTATCCACCTCATAATCTACTTGATCCTAACTTATCCACCTCATAATCTACTTGATCCTAACTTATCCACCTCATAATCTACTAGATCCTAACTTATCCACCTCATAATCTACTTGATCCTAACTTATCCACCTAACCAACCCTTTCCATTTCTTCATTTCAGCACCAGGCCTCCTCGAGCTAGCATGGCATTCGCAGGAAACACGTGGTGGACTTATCTTCTGTTCTCGCTGATCGCGTCATTCGCGTTGCTAGGCAACAGTCTGGTGTTGTACGTCCTACTCACCAAGAGATCCTATCTCAAGCAGCCATATAACATCTTTATATTCAGTTTGGCGCTGACTGATATTTTATCTGGAGTATTCTTGGTAAGTATAGGTCTGATAATAGTTGATCTGTTGACGACACAGGGTGTGATTATTTATTCATTTATTCACATATCTCGTCCACAGGTCATCAGTCGCTACCTTTACCTCCCCCCTACACCAGGCGGGGAGATCCAACGAGAGATGTTTTGTCGTACGATATGGTCTGCTTGGATCCTCTTTACCTTGGGGTATATATCAATCTACACGTGCACCGCTCTTACGTTTGAGCGCTGGCTCGCTGTTACCAGACCCCAAACCTACCGCGCGATCAAGCCAGCACAAGCAATCAAGGCGGTGATATTTGTCTGGCTATGGGGGATAATCATCAACATTACTACTCTATTTCGAGCAAAATTTATCCCTGCCAAACAATCTTGTTCCTGGACTGCCCTAAGTGTGGCTAACGATGTATTCCCATGGATAGACTTTACTTTACAATCTATTATCCCTTTCGTAACCATGGTCGTCCTGTACATCCACATAATCCACAGGTTGAAACGGTTGCCGGTGATGTCTGCAGAACATCAGCCAATCAAGAAAGTCACTATGGTTGCACTGGCCGCATCGACTACCATCATCATAGGATGGATCCCAAGTCGTATCAGCTTCATGTTAAGCAAATACGGCATTGTCGATCCGAATAGCCTGTCTCACTACTGCCTCATTATGTTATCTCTTGCAAACAGCTGCTGGAATCCCGCTTTGTATGGCATATACAGTTCACAGTTTAGAAAAGAGTATATCAAGATCTACAAGAAAGTATTCCGCTTAGAGAAACCAAGGTTGACGAATACACAAGGAGTGGTTAATCATGCGTCAACGGCACCCAGTTCAGGCTCTGCTGATCAAAGTTCTACTAAAAATACTCAGTTTTAAAACTATCAATCATTATCCCTAACCTATCACACAATATTCACATACATTCCTGGATGTAACATGTGGTTTCACTGTCTTTCTGCTGTTTTCTTTGTGCTCTAGACCAAAATTATGCATTTCATATAGGGTGACATAAAGTGTCTGCTTCCCCGACACATACTAAAATGATATTGTGGTATTGGTTTTATAATAGCAGTTTGTGTTGTTGCACATACAGCAGTATAGCTACAGCTTTTGAATTACGGACAGCTATAAATAAAATGTGGAACATCAACACCGCCATTGCCTCACGTCACAGTGGCGGCGCAAAGTGAGAGGGGGGGGGAGAACCTGCTCTCAAATTCTTAAGATTGAAATATTGTTGTAATATATACGAATGATATAAATAGTTGTCAATAGAAATACATACAAATTAAATATTTAAATGTTGAGCCTATACTCGATTGTTCAGTTCGCTTCATTCTATCGTTGCCTGCGGAGGAGGCTGTGTCGGTAAAATGTCCTATTCTCTCCACAACACTGCACCAATATACCTGGTGACTCCTACTGCATGAACTTCTAGAAAGAACAGTTTAGAACTCGTACAGCAAGATAGTATATATAGAATTAGTTGAAGTTTACTGAACCTCAGGGGAGAATAATGCAGAGTTGATACAACTATCCAGTATCAATAAAGTTAGTTTAGTTTATCTCTAGTAACACTGGATCAATAAAAGATAATCCTTACTGGATCACTAACGGGAACAGTGTAGAACTGATAGAGCTATCTAGTATAAATAAAGTTAGTTTAGTTTAGGTTTCCTCCTGTAGTAACACTGGATCAATAAGAGATGATCCTTACTGAATCTCTAGGAACAGTGTAGAACTGATAGAGCTATCTAGTATAAATAATGTTAGTTTAGTTTAGGTTTCCTCCTTTAGTAACACTGGATCAATAAGAGATGATCCTTACTGGACCTCTAGGAAGAACAGTTTAGAACTGATAGAGCTATCTAGTATAAATAAAGTTAGTTTAGTTTAGGTTTCCTCCTGTAGTAACACTGGATCAATAAGAGATGATCCTTACTGGACCTCTAGGAACAGTGTAGAACTGATAGAGCTATCTAGTATAAATAATGTTAGTTTAAGACTGTGGTTCCACTTCACTGGAAGGCCAATATTATTCGATGCAAACGCCGATTGCTGGCCCAGTGTCTAAATGTTAGACCCACTGGAGGGCAGAACAAAACACACCACAGGATACAACTACTCATGAATAACAAGCAAGGCTTCGTTTCTCTGCCATTAAATCAAGAAATATGGCCAAAGACGGGCCTGAGGTAGGGAATCACAATCCCAAGGCCACTGAAGATGACCCTTCGGGTAAGAGGTCGACGAGTATGGATGTCGAAAGTGGTCAATTGGATGAAACAGAAGAAAAAGATGATAAAACTAGCGAAATCACAAAGCCTGATGGAGGATGGGGTTGGTTAGTTTGCCTCGGAGCTTTTATTTGTAATTTTGTTGTCTTTGGTACCCACAATTCATTCGGTGTGATATACGGTACTTTGATCAAAGAACTGAGCATCAGTAGCGCTGAAACAGGTATATGACTCCTATGTTCTTTACCGACAGAGATCAATTATATTACAGTGATTATTTTGAGTAAGTTTGATAAAACGTACAAATTAGTCTTCAAATTTTCCCCCAATTACAACTGTGATAAGTAATTATCAATGATGAAAGAGCTTACCATAAGTAGCGCTGAAAAGGTTACTGTGTTGTTTTGCCGGCAGATTATATGCTACAATGATTAAGTAAGCTCGATAATTTTAAAGTCGGTATTACAATACATACAATGTAAAACACCCAAAATTCTCGCCTAATTACAGCCTGTCTGATAGGTCGTCGTATTGTGTCCTATAGCATTAATTCCAATCGTATTATCACCAGTAGAATATAATCGGATTATAGTATACCGGTAGAGTGTTGTTGATCTGCTAAGTTGTCACAATAGGATGAGGAGAGTTTTTGAGCTTAAAAATTCCACATTCCCAGTGGAAAATTTAAAAAAAATTGGAACTCGATCTTTCTTCCACATCACATTTTGAAAAGAATTGTCATTCCGTTGAGCAGTGTGTGGTCAGCAGTCAAAAAATTAAACGAGATGGCGTGAAGTTGATCAAATATTAAGCGTGATAATTCCAACCCACAGTGCATCTACTATATACATTGCAGTGCAAGCTACCTTAAACAGTAAACCTAGATATAATTTCAGCAGTATATAATTTTGGTGTTATGATTGTTGTTTAATCCACTAGAATTCAACTTGAGACTTTGTCACGGTGATATAGTTAACTAGCTATATAGTACAGTTATATTAATTAAACAGTCGATGCCTCACAGAAAAATAACAATGTTCCCTTGTGGTCTCTGAAAATAAAATATTTTTCCACCCCCGGACGGCGCATATTTCGTTGTTCTCTATCAGTATTAGAGTATGAGAGGAATTTCCACTGTCTCAAGATGTTGTTTATACATACGTTGAATACCAATGATTAAATGACTTTAAGGGAGGCATGACTTTAGGCTAAAAATACGCCTAATACTACCTACAGTGAATAAACATGTTAAAATAGACTAGATCCATGCTGACTTGTACTTTTAAACAGTGACAGATAAACGATACTAGCGTGGGAGAACAAGCTGATGTAACTGATTGATTAAGGTGAACAGGTGTTGCAATGGACCATTCCCCAATTAACCAAAATTTTGAACTCAACAAGTCAGTAGACAAAAATTTCATCACAGCTTGAAAGAGCATCACAAAATTAGTAATATTCCAAAGTTTCGTTACGAAATGTTGTAAAATGCGGATAATATAGCCTTGCGAAGTTTACAATTTTCAGTCATTTTAGATTACAAACGGGAAATGGTTACCGCTTTTCCAAAATTTTGATATTAACTAGCCTAAACAAAGATTTCATTACAATTTGAAAGAGCATCACAAAATTAGTAATATTCCAAAGTTTCGTTACGAAATGTTGTAAAATGCGGATAATATAGCCTTGCGAAGTTTACAATTTTCAGTCATTTTAGATTACAAACGGGAAATGGTTACCGCTTTTCCAAAATTTTGATATTAACTAGCCTAAACAAAGATTTCATTACAATTTGAAAGAGCATCACAAAATTAGTAATATTCCAAAGTTTCGTTGCAAAATGTTGTAAAATGCGGATAATATAGCCTTGCGAAGTTTGTAATTTTCAGTCATTTTGTATTACGCACAGAAGTGGTAACCATTTCCCGTTTGTAATCTAAAATGACTGAAAATTGCAAATTTCGCAAGGCTATATTATCCGCATTTTACAACATTTCGCAACGAAACTTTGGAATATTGCTAATTTTGTGATGCTCTTTGGTGCTATGATGGAATTTTGTCTAGACTTGCTGAAATCAAAATTTTGGTTAATTGGGGAATGGTCCATTACATCAGGTGTTGCACACGCAGCTCAATCTGACCGAGTCCAAGGCTTACTAAGGGCACAGAATAAAGACATACAGAAGTGTAACTTCCATTGCAAAACCGTAAGGCGCTTTTTTACCGAAATAGCTGGCGGCCATGTTCTTAGCAAGTGCCCTAAAGAGAGGCATTCACCCCCCTGGAATATTAAATTTTCAATATGTTTTCAGGGGGGTGACTGCCTCTCTTTAGGACACTTGCTAAGAACATGGCGGACTGAAAAAATCCCTTACGCACTTTTAATAAGAAGATACACTTCTGTATGTCTTTATTCTGTGCTAAGGACGCCTGTGGCAGCCACTTTATAACTCATGTCTGATCATGGCACACAGCTACGGTGGAAGGGGCAGTTTGGAGATAATCCTAACCCACCCTGTCAACTTTCCCTGTGGGAGGAAACGGGAGCACGCGGAGAAAACCCACGACCTTCGGTAGAGCGTTAACTCACTCTTTTCATATAAGTGTGACGAGTCTGCAACGAGAATGGACGATCTCAGAAGTGAAAGCCTGAAAGGCACTTGCTCTGATGATTGTACATTATGTCGGAGTATAGCCGTGTTTACACTACGAGCCTAAGTCTGACCTGGGCCTACCTTTGGACTAGATTTTTGTTGTGTAAACGCACTCCGGTCTGGTCTAGGCCAGGAAATCTGGGCCCATCAGAATAGGTGGCCCAGATTTTCTGGCCTAGGCCAACCCGAAGTGCGTTTACACTGCAAAAATCTAGTTCAAAGCTAGGCCTAGACCAGGCTTAGGCTCGTAGTGTAAACACGGCTTATTTCGCAGAATCGCATAATATGGGTAGTATGAGGGTATGGGGTAACCTCTAGACTTGTAATTCAACTCCTAGAGTATCACCTAAAGTCTAAATGAAGGGTGCTGGTCACAGAGTAGTGCATGCATGTCGCTTTCACCTCCCTATGGTCAGGGCAATGTACAGCTGCCCGATTCCCCTCAGTCTTACCAGTGAGTTCGGTTTTAGAATAAGGACAAATTTTATACAAAATATTTGCTTTGTCTGGGTTTGAATAAGGCTTGAATAGGGTTTGAATAGGCCAAACGTTTTTGCAAATCAACCAAACTATCATACGACCACATTGTTTTGCTACAATTCAATAGTGACAAAATCAAAACACTAAAGTTCATTATTTTTTCAAATAAGCAATGGAAATTTTATTTCCTGCATCACAGCACGATATTTAGTAGCCTTATGAATCACAACTTTTGTTGACTTCCCGACTTCTAGTAAGCATTTCAAAAGTGATAACTGTAGCTTCATGCTTTGAAGTATTACACGGAACGTTCTAGGTAACGACACCCGGTGTTGTTATGATTAAAGATACAGAGAGCTCTGCATAACAATCAGATAGCAAATATAGAAGAATGATGTCGGGAAATCTAGTTATATTTAGTTGCAAAATCTGACTTTTATAGTATACATTCATCAATAAAACTAAATAATTCTCTAAAGTGCTGAAATAACTTTACTTATATACTGGATATAATCGTAATATATAGATCTAGATATATCAAAGGATTTTTTGGGCCGCAGATTCGATTCCTGCCAGAGGCCCTATAGTTTATTAAATATTAGAAAATTATTAAATATCTATCTATCTGATAAATTCTTATTTTATTCCAGCTTGGATCGGTTCTATGGCGATGGGTTTCAATTTTTTCTTCGGGCCTATTGCGAGCGCATTGTGTGAACGTATTGGCTGTCGACTGACCGCAATGGCTGGAGCAGTTCTTTCAGTATCTGGACTGCTGCTATCATCATTCATTACACGTAAAGATGTTTCTAAGATGTACGCAACATATGGTGTAATGTGGGGTGTAGGTTCTAGTATGTGCTATGTCCCTTCTATGGTTATATTGGGTCAGTATTTTGATAAACGCATGGCTTTAGCTAATGGTCTTGGAACATCAGGGAGTGGAATTGGCACACTGATTATGGCACCTGTTATTCAAAAACTCTTGTCTTCATTAGGTAAGGTGATTTATAGTTTATTTTCTTTGTACGTGCAGCACTGCAAACAATGTGACTCAAAACACCAGGGGGGCAGTAAGGCCTATATGCCGAAAAAAGTCCCAAATACCCAAAGAATAATTAATGACATTCTAAAAATCGTAAAATAGTTTTCTCTGGAACTGCCCCCC